AAGCCCTAAACCCCTAACACCCTAAACCCTAACACCCTAAAACCCTCAACGGTCCACGCCGACCTCTCATGAGGGGATTCGGCTTGGGGTTCTCTAGGGATTAGGGTCTTGGGAGCTGAGTTTTAGGGCTTTGGAGCTTTGGGTGTAGGGGCTGGCTGATTTTCGCCGACCTTGGCTTAAGGTTAAGGCTTTCATGGTTTTTTTTGTGTTTTATGCTGTTGCTTTCACGCTCTGGGGTTTTGCGGGCTTCAAACCGCATCCGCAGCCATCGCAAGCAAGAGCACAGGGCGATCGGCGACATTGGAGTTTGGGATTTTGGCTTAATGTTCTTGTTTCGCGCTTTGCTTCATTAAATAGTTGTGTAAGGGCTTTACAAGATTTTACATAGCGACTTATTCGCTTGTGTGGCTAAGGGTTTCCGGTTCATTGAGGCTTTTCTGGTTCGGGGCTTTTGGAAACTACGTAGGAATTCGTAAGCATTGCTTTTGTAGGGGGCTTGACTCGTAGGGCTTCTACAGTGGAGTTATCTACGGTTTCAGTGGTTCCATCTTACATCTCCGTGGATGCGAAGCCGCTCAAGAACTGGACCTACACCTCAGCACACCACTAAACATCCACATGCCAAAAGCTCGAATGTAAATCCCTGAATGCCTAGACCAGGGTATGGAGGCGTTGGTACTCGGAATAGTTTCCTGCATTCTACAGAAAGATTGCTCGCAAAATCCCCTCATCGTTGAGGTAACACAGCAGCCTGAATCATTACCAATAATATTGCCGAGGGTTCCGTATTGCAAGTACACCATAATGTGCCCCAAACCCTTTTCCAATTATTGGTCAACCCTAAACCCTAAACCCTAAACCCCTAAACCCTAAACCGTAAACCGATACTGTCCGAAGTGCCACGTGTCCAAGTCGCACTTGAACATGTTCAAGGTACCCTTTGTCCTACTACTCAGTTCTTACGGAGACCTTAATACTGTAGGGTTTAGGGTTTAGGGTTTTGTAGTTCAGGGTTCAGGATAGTCAGTGTTTAAAGAAACCCCAAGATAAAGAGTAACAGGGCCGGAATCAACCCTAAAGCCTGTATAAGCCCTAAACCCAGTAGAACCGCCGTGCAAACCAAAGTGGCATAGCCAATCGCGCCAAATTGTTGTGGTGCCCGCCTGAGTCTTCGTGACTCTTACTGGGAGGATCCGGGTTCATAAGGTTTAGGGTTCAGGGTTCAGGGTTTATGGTTTAGGGTTTATAAGGTTTAGGGGTTATGGTTTAGGGTTTATAAGGTTTAGGGTTTAGGGTTCAGGGTTCAGGCATTCAGGGTTCAGGCTTTAGGGTTCAGGGTTGAGGCTTCGGGGTTTAGGGATCAGGGCTTGGGGTTCAGGTTTTATAAGGTTTAGGATTCAGGGTTCAGGGTTTCTGGTTTAGGGTTTATAAGGTTTAGGGTTTAGGGTTCAGGGTTGGGGGTTTAGGGTTCAGGGTTTAGGCATTCAGGGTTCAGGCTTTAGGGTTCAGGGTTCGGGGTTTAGGGAGCAGGGCTTGGGGTTCAGGTTTTATAAGGTTTAGGGTTGAGGGTTCAGGGTTCATGGTTTAGGGTTTATAAGGTTTAGGGTTTAGGGTTCAGGGTTGAGGGTTTAGGGTTCAGGCATCAGGGTTCAGGGTTCAGGGTTGAGGGTTCGGGGTTTAGGGAACAGGGCTTGGGGTTCAGGTTTTATAAG